AATACTACTTTAAATACTACTTTAAATACTACTTTAAATACTACTTTGATTAACGAGCTTCAGTCTTTAAATGAGAAAATGAGAAAAAATGAGAAAGATTTAGAGAAACGGTTGCAGAAAGCAGAAGAAGTGAGTAGTGAGTGGGAAAAAAAACCAAAGATCTTAAAATTTTAAATACTACTTTGACTGACGAGCTTCAGACCTTAAAGGTGGAAATGGATATGAATAAAAAAAATGAGAAAGATTTAGCGAAACGTTTGCGTGATTCAGAGGAATCGCGTAGTGCGTACAAAAAAGAAGTAGAAGAACTGAAGATTTTGAATACTGCTTTGCTTATGGAATAATGATTTAATTAAATTGAATATTTATTAATTGTATATTTATAACAAAGATATTAATTTGCGATACATAATGGCGCAACATTATTAAAACAATAACTAAAAATTAGAATAACTTGAGCCTAAAAATGACATTGTAAAATGTAAAGAAATCGTCAATGTTTTTCATTTTAATAATATACATTTGTATGCAAAACATATGCCAAATAAATATGACGCTATTGCGGTTTGACACAGAAAGATATACTTACATTTCTATAGTTTACGAATAGAAGAAGCCTCGATTCACTTTGAATTTTTCTATGCAAATTATATATTTTCAATTACAGATCAAACTAGAGGTCCTCGATCGCCCCCTTCGGTTACAATCGACGGTTACAATCGACCCTGGAGGGGGGAAAGTGATTCCCTGGGGAGAGAGGTGGGATGGGTGATCCCTCGCCTCCCTCTGGGCCGATGGCGGCCGTCCGGCGGTCGTCTGGCCTGGGGGGTTGCGGGGTTCTTCCCGTCCCACGTCACCCCACTCCCGGGGCTGGGCCATTCACCCATTGCACGCCAGTGCTCCGGCAGGGTGGATGGTCCTGGGGTTTCCCTTCTTGGGGTGGGGTAGAGTCGGCCGTACCCTCGCGGTTGGGGGGTCAAAAGGCCTGCACTCCGTCCTTTGGCGGAGGCGCCGCAGCCCAGGGAAACCTCGGCTGTTGGCGCTGTGGGCCTAAATCGCCCTTCCGTGGGGTCGCGAAAATCCCCTCTCCTCGGAGAGGGGATATCCGCCTTTCATCCGCCCAGTACGTGGTGTTGGGTTGGGTAAAAGGTAGGCCCGTACTAGAGGATTGCACACCAGGGACGTGGTCCCATGGTTCCCCGAGTACGGAGGGTCGCTTGGGCCGCTCGAACATCTTTCGAGGTCGGGGCCAGGCGTCCTGGGTGGGAGACCCGTCGGGCCGCTCGGACATTTCCCGAGGTCGGGGCCGACGGGTCTAGCTTCTGGCCGTTAAGTCGGAAGTGAACGAATTTTCCCAGGGGTCATCCAACGACGGGCAGGATAAATTAACTACTACGGCTGAGTTTCGGGCGAGCTCAGTCGAAGATTCAGTTATCGCTCAAGTGGAAGCTAAAGCTTCCAGAGAACAGGAGAGGAAGAATACTATGGGCAAGGTCAAACCGACAGCCCAAGGACCAAAAAGTGCGAGGGATAAATCAAGAGACAAAAGTCGCTCTCGCTCACGTCCACACAATCGGAGGCAGGGGTCCCCCGAACTGATGGACACCTCGAAAGGAAACATAAACTCGGGAAATAATAGTACCCTGTCCATTCGGAATAGAACGGAACAGGCTTTCCGAATCATTGATGACGTTGAGAAAAACATCATGGGAGAGGAGTCAAATACGACTAACACGAGGACGTTGTCCACCTCGTTGCAGAGTACGGAGCTCAACGATGACACAATCGTCATTCCATCAGACGATGGGAGTGACGAAGGAAGTAGAAGAAACAAGACCCAAATTGCACGGGCCATGAGCCTGGAAAAGAAGAAGCAGAAGTGGGCTCAACAAGCTGAAAATGAAGAGAAGGGAAAACTTAGAGAGATGCTGGACCCCCGTGTGGCTCCAACTCTCTCTAAAAGTAGAAGAGAGAAGGAACGCAAGCTGATGGAGCAGCTAAAATACGCTCCCACGGAAAAACTACCCAATGTAGTTTTAGAGCAGGTTCGTACGCTCGACAAGTACATCAATCGTGCAAAAATACAGGGACCAATCCAAGGTCACCTAAACACAGTGGCCGCTACCGTCACCGCAGCAGTTACCAGGCTGGTTGGTCGGATGGGTAACGAACCGGGAACGGAGCATAATAGTGAACTGGATGAGCTCAGGAACAGGCTCAGCGCGCTCGAGGAGAAGAATCGACAACTACGCAAACGCATTGAGGCGAATCATCGTCCCGCGGATAAGGTGGCTGCAATGGAAGTTAGTCCACAAACCAGCAGCCATAACTCCCCTATTAATAGGAGTAAAAGTAGGGTTAACCGATTCCCAGAAGATTCTTCATCGGACGAGGAAGAACGGAAAATTCGGGAAAACGAGAAACGTAAAAACTCTGAGATCAACAAACGGAAAATCTTAGAGGAAATTGCGAAGGAGGGAACCCCACCAGTGTATAGAGCGGCTCTAAGAGGAGTCAGACCCGTTCTACTGGACCCTGGCATCCCTCCGGGTGGCGCCGCCCCTCTAGGGATCCCACAATCGGAGTTATCGTTGGAGGAACGGATATTACACCGACTATCCAACAGGATGGAAATGTTATTGGCACCTATTATGGGAAAGTTTAATAGCCTTAACAAAGACAACAAGACCAAGGCAGCAGCAGAGAAGGCTAGCACCTCTGGTAAGAAGAGCAGCTCCAATCCTCCGGCTAAACCGTCTAACAGCGGTAATACTAAACGGAAGAATAAGAAGAAGGCGACTGACAATAAAAAAGGGAGAAACGGTGGTGAACCTACGGACAAAGGCACATATGCCGGGACGCAAAAAGCCATTGAGCAGGCAGGTCCTAGTTCATACGCCATGGTAACCAAACGCGGGAAGAAACCGGATAAACAAGCACCGGGCACGATGCCGACTGGTGGGAACCAAAAAGGTGTAGTTACTGATTGACATAAGATAGTTTTCAGAGCTATATCACACAGAAAAAAATGCAACGTTTGTAATTCTTCTAATGATCAATTTATAAACTTTTCAACCAAAGAGGAGAGCGTGTACCATATTCCTTATGTAGAGAAAATATTTACCGAACATGGTAACGATGGACATTTCTTCCATTTAATCAAATTTCACTTTATTGACAATGACTTCGAAGAATTGAAGTCTACAGACTTAATAATGTATTCAGATTCGTACAAATGTTCGCGAAATCGCTGATTAATCCCGGCGATGGGAGCGGGATGAGAAGGACGCGCGTGGAAGGTGTTAACTAAATATTCACTTTATTTTTGTGTAACTCAGACCACAGTCTGAGCCGTCTTTAATGCGTCTTTAATGCGTCTTTAATGCGTCAAAATTGATACAATCTGACCTGAGAGTGATGAGCGGTGAACAAAATGAGATGTCTATATAGCCCGTGTAAATGAGAGGCAATTATATTAATTGCCGTCCTCTTCGATGAATCGCCCGTGAGTCGGTGAGACACGTGGCGGTGGGCACTCGCGCACATGTGAGTCTGAGTCGTCGTGTTGATGTACCCGAGTAGAGCTGGATGAGCGGTCGCTTTACATGTTAATGCAGTATCTCGGCAGCTGTTGTAATCACTGCGGTGGGCACTTCAATGTGTAGTCACAATCAAAAATGCACAGAGCACACGTCGTGCGTCTGATCACTGCGCGGCCATTTGTACGACTCTGAATATCGCGAGGAAGACGTTGGCGATGAGCGCGCCCGTGCGCGGCGCAAGCTGCCGCGGTGATGACAAATGTTCGCGAAATCGCTGATTAATCCCGGCGATGGAAGCGGAATGAGAAGGACGTGCGTGGAAGGTGTTAACTAAATATTCACTTTATTTTTGTGTAACTCAGACCACAGTCTGAGCCGTCTTTAATGCGTCTTTAATGCGTCTTTAATGCGTCAAAATTGATACAATCTGACCTGAGAGTGATGAGCGGTGAACAAAATGAAATGTCTATATAGTCCGTGTAAATGAGAGGCAATTATATTAATTGCCGTCCTCTTCGATGAATCGCCCGTGAGCCGGTGAGACACGTGGCGGTCGGCACTCGCGCACATGTGAGCCTGAGTCGTCGTGTTGATGTACCCGAGTAGAGCTGGATGAGCGGTCGCTTTACATGTTAATGCAGTATCTCGGCAGCTGTGATCACTGCGGTGGGCACTTCGATGTGTAGTCACAATCAAAAATGCACAGAGCACACGTCGTGCGTCTGATCACTGCGCGGCCATGTGTACGACTCTGAATATCGCGAGGAAGACGTTGGCGATGAGCGCGCCCGTGCGCGGCACAAGCTGCCGCGGTGATCTAGCGTCGTTACCCGATCGATGCTGCCATCTGATCTGACGGCGCAGCGTTAACGGAATCTTGAACATGTAGCGTTTTTAGATTTGAAAAGAGCTTTTGAAGTAGTTGATAGGAAAGTTTTGATTAAGAAATTAAAAAGGTATGGGATAAATGGAGTAGTGCTGAAGTGGTTTAAAAGTTATTTGGAAAATAGAAGTCAGAGAGTTAAGTTTAATGGAAAATTATCGGCTTCTATTAACGTAGATTTAGGGGTTCCGCAGGGGTCGGTTTTGGGACCGTTATTGTTTCTAATATATATTAATGATATTGTAAAGATTGTTGGTGATAATTGTGTAATAAGACTGTTTGCGGATGATGCAATAATATACACAACAGGGTATTCAATTGAGGAAATTAATGATAAGTTAAATAAACAAATGGAAAAAATTGATGAATGGGTAAAGTTAAATAAGTTATGTGTAAATGTGGAGAAAACCAAAGTTATGTTGGTAAGAGAAGTGAGAAAGAAAGTTATGTGAGAAAAATTTAAAAGTTTATCTAAGAGGTAAGGAGCTAGAAGTAGTGACAGAAATTAAATATTTAAGAATAATATTTGATAAGAACTTAAATTTCTCGAAGCATGTGGATTATATTAGTAGAAAAATAGGAGCGAGGTTAGGCGTTATGCGAAGAATTAGTATGGATATATCAGCGTATATGAGATGTATGGTATATAAAGCAATAATTGCTCCGTTGTTTGATTATTGTGGATCAATTTTGGTGGGCGTTAGTAAAACGAATGTGCAATATTTGCAGAAATTACAGAATCAAGGTATGAGAATTATTCTCAGGTGTAATAGAAGAATAAAAATTGTTGATATATTGGAAGCGTTGCATTTCATGTCAATTAAAGAAAGAATAGAATATAATGTCTGTATAATTGTGTATAAAATTATGAAAGGTTTGTGTCTGAAATATTTGTGGAGAAAAATAGAAATAGTGCCACACGAAGAAAGAGTTAGTACTAGACAAGTAGGTAATATATATATATATAGATAGATGTAAAACTAGTGAGGAACAAAAAATGTTATTGTATGAAGGGTTGAAAATGTATAATGCGTTACCAATAAAGCTAAAAAGTAAAGAAAAAATTCAAAGTTTTAGAAAAAAGTTAATAAAGTATATTATAGCGAAAGAGAGAGAAACAAATGTGTAGTAGGGATGAAATTGGATACGTTAATGATATAGCATGTAGTTAATTGAATTTGTATTTGTATTATGTATATTTTTTTGTAATATTATGATGTATTTATTCGCGGACGTAATAAGATGCAACGACGACGCGGCGTTACTCGTGAAACTAACGGGTAGTGGACGGCACTCGCTAGCCGGTTGTTTCAACCCGTCGCTCAAACTTGGCCAACGCATAGGACGACACCGCGTTGGGTATCTCTACGAGTACGGATTTTTCGATAACTACGCCGCGTTGGTACGAGAACCGGCCGTGACATTTGTCCAAGCATACTGCTCGGCCGCGAAGATGGCGCGGGCGGCTGATTCGGGATTCATCGCCACGTACACGATATGCCGCGGTTTCTGCGACGGTGGCGCAGAATTCTTAAAGACCAAAGACAGTCTCCTGCAATATCTGAACGACATGGAGAATTACGCGGAACAATACTTTGCGCGCAAACCGACTCTCCGCGTAGAGCAAGTACTGACATTGAACACGAGGCGGCCGGAAAACGCCGCACTTTCGGACGCGATACGTCGACACCGTGTGTTCGAAGGTGGAATTTTGACGATCGCCACTAAGGTGCTACTCGACAGCGGCGTAATTTTTAAAATGCACAATTGGGCTAAACACGTCAAGCGGTGCACTTCGGTCGAAAGACAATTATTGTACGACGTGGGCATGTGCACCTACGCGGGATTCGATACCATGACGTGGGTATCGCCCGTGCTCGTTAATCACTCGATACACGCCGATTACCGTCTGACGTACGCGTTGCACGGTGCCGCTCGCGTGCACAATTACGGAGTGACGTAACGTATGATGATCAACGGCACCGAGGGAAACTCGGTGAACCGCGGTCTCGTCGAGCTAAGACCCGTCCTCAACAACGACGTCCACATCTACCAATTGTACAGCGGCAACATCAAGCTGCAACAAATGAACGCCGTTCGACACCAATGGCTCGTGATGCATGCCGTCGACGAGCCCGCGTACGGCGAAGACAGAGCCACGGCTACCGCGAACGACGACTTTCTCGTTATAAAATATTTGATAGCGTCGTACGCGGCGTATGCGTACAAGAATTTCGTAAAAGTAACAAACTTCGACGACAACGACGTAAAAGAGGCGGCCATGAAATATTTTACGAGTGACAGCGAAGCTTTTCGGCTCGAAACACTGGCCAAACAGTGGAAGAAGTGTACGCGTCAAAACCGTAACGCGCTTCGCGTCACGTCAAAGCCGTTCAAAGCGAGGGACATTGCGACGGAGATGATACGCCCCAAACAAACTATGATCGCCAAGATCATTAGAATGACGCTTCGTATCGCGGACAAAGAAGCTGCGATAAACGACCTGACCGGATACCTGCGTCAAAACGCCCAAGTATTTCCCTCCCGTATACTACAGAACAGAGGGCCAACATTTACGCCTGGGGTAAAATTGGCGACGCCAACGAGGACAGACGGGTGTCGTTGGACAAAATGCGCGACACAATGACCAACGTTCGCCTGGGAACACGTACCCATTCTCCCAGAAGAAGATCTAAATCGGCACCGCTCGCTGCCATAGAAGAGGAGAACGAGCCGAGCGACGCGGAGAGATCGGCGGCCTCGACGAGCGACGAAGAAGACGACGCCGCCGCCGCCGAACCGTCGTCGCCTCCGCCAACGACGCGGCAGCCACAACCGACACCCTCCACATCCGGCACATCGGGCATAGGCACCATGTCGACCAAGACAACCCCAGCGACAACGCGCGTACCGTATGTCAAATTGACACGAATATCCTTGGAGGATATAACTCGATCGCCGTCGCCTGATTTATCGCAAAGGGCGAGAGGAGAACCAGGTACGCGGCACGTAAAAACCGACCTTCGTACAAAACGAAGAAGCCTCCGAGATTCAGTCCGCGTGCGACATCGCCCTCGCCGAGCACATCGTCGGCTGGTACCGCCACGACGCCAACGACTCGAACTCGAACTATGTTTGCAAAGATATCGTTGAGAGACACGGAAGCCCAGCCCGCTGACATGCCGCCGCCGCCGCCACCACCACCGCGGCCAACATTGAGGAGATCGGCGAGACTATCCGGGCGAGAATCGAGTGCCCACAGTGATGATAGTACCGCGACCAACAAAACCCGAGAGGAAAATGAGGATGAAAGTCCAGCACTTCACCGAATCGATGGACATAGTCCTCATCAAACACGCTTTGGAGACATGCGCTATAAACAATCTCGCAACGTGGACGTGGACTAAGGGAATTGCGACCGGACTTGTTTGCTGCGTTTTCATCGTCCAACTTAAGATATAGAATTAAACAGCTAAGTTCTGGAATGCACAAACAAACATTCGGAGAGACACATAAAGAGGAGCTGCAACAAATACGCGAAATGGTGAGATCCCAAAAAGTGCGG